GCGATATATGTTCTGATATGTTCAATGCAACATCTTTGTTTTCATTCAGATTTATATATAGTGTGATAAAAAAATAAACAAATTGCTTTAAATACATTAACACATACACACACATGCCACATTTGTACTTGCAACAAATACAAAAAAACACGATTCATTTTCAATTAATTAGCAGCTATTGTGTGAAACGACGATTGCTGCGCCTTATTTCATTGTTGCAATTAAAACAGGAGCGAATCGAATAATTATTTCGCAATCGAATTAGTTGGAATTAAAGCATTTATTCGATTGGTTCGAATGGAAATTATTCTTGTTTTTTTTTCACTGTTTCATTGTATTGGTGTGGATTACCATAAGAACAGAAATTGTTGACGATAAATCTGTTAAAATAATAAACAATTGTAAACAAATTGTTTTATAAATAACAAGAAATGGACGGGGTTATATTTATAGAAATGTTTTTTGGACTCATGTTAAGTGCATCTGGCAAATAGATTTTAGTGGGCGATGGAACGATTTTTTTGAAATAAATAAAGTCATATGTGTTTGTTTAACTTACAATATATTTTATAAGGAAGGCTAAATTTTCTTTAAAAAATTTCCTCGATGTAGATTAAGATTTTTCCTCGATGCAGAATTTAATAGAGGTATAAATATATTAATTTTTTTTTACATCCATATGTTCAGCTTCTTATAAAACACATTTCTCCTGAAAAAACAAAAATGTAATCGATCTAGGAATTTTTCTATTAAGGGAACCCGACCCATTCTCGATTTTAATTTTTCAAGATTTTCAACGGGCTGGTAAATCAATACCAATGATTGTTAAAGTTTGTACCTTTGCACATATATAATTGAAGATTTAAAAGAGAAGAAAAATAATTTACGAAAAAATGTTGTTATTGTTTTGTTGTTGTTTTTTGTAATTAAAGAAAAGTCCTTAGTTTTGATGGCGGGCATGATAACTCCTCACTGGATCATCGGAATCCGAAAATTCCAACGGTGTTAGAAAGAGTACATGTCTGGCTCTCGTATAAACTAGGATTATTGTCTTTGCTCTAAAATTAACAAAATGGTGGACCTTTGAAAAAATATTTTTGGAAAATCGCCGATTTTTTACCAAAAACCAAGAAGATCTTCACCGATTGGCTTTATCCTAGTTCATACGAGAGCTATACACCTCCAGAGAAACGTTGCAAAATTTGGAACCGATTGGACTATTAGTTTTTGAGTTATCGTGCCCGCCATTCGCAAAAAAAAAATTAGAGAAAAACGCGTTTAAAGTTTGAGAAGCCCTTCAGCCGTCACTTGATGCTGACACAATAAATCGGCTATATCTTCAAGAGTTCTTGAGATTTTCACTTGAAATTTTGTAGAGACATTCTTTAATCAGTGTAGATTCGAATTATATCAACAAAAATTTTGACCCCGAGAATGGGGGGGTCCCCTTAAAAAAACTTAGTCCGATCGTCCTAATTCAGGCTTCAGAGAACTGATTTCTGATTTCTCTGAGGTCTGATTTTTCTATGAGAAGAATTTTTCATATTGTTACTTACAGCTGCGCCAAATAAAATAGCGCCATCCTTACAAGCAATACTTAGAAAGGTGTATCAACTTTTTTTTAAGTTCTGCATTTGGTGGTCGTCTGACATATTCTCGACAACATTTTCCCTATACAGCACAATCTTACTTTCATCTGTCCATAAAACGTTCCTCCATTTTGAAGGTATTTTTTAACAAAATGAACAGGATACTTGCTGGTGCTATTTTATTTTTCGCAACTGTAGGTAAAAAACTCCTTTGTTACTTAGTTCCATAACTAGTACCTTAGGGCAATTTTCCTTGTTGCTGCCGCTTATCTAATCTAAACTGAACTGAACCAAATTACCCTAATCTATTGTCAATATTTTATTATTGAAGGTAATATCTATGTATGTGTATGTATGCATGCATGTGTGCGATGTACATATATAAAAATATGTTTATGCCTGATATATAATTACGTCAAATAACCCGTCAACGAAGGGGATTATTGCGTCAATGCCCTCTGTTATCTATCAGAAGAGAGAAAGAAAAACAAATAGTCATCATCAAAACCTGTTACAAACAGATGTGATAAGAAAAGGTTATTTTTGGCAAAAAAAAAGAAAACTCTACTGACATGTTTCCATAAAAAGATTGTAAGACCCACACATACACACTTCAAAACACTGGGAGTGGGCTATTATCAACAAGACTACAAAATATAAATTTTAATGAGACCTCTTTCTTTTTGTTAACCCAAATTTCAAGAAAGAAAACTTTTATTTTTCCATGGAAAGTGGAAATTTAGGACAATAGCCATTAAGAAACCACCAGCACACACAAACAACAACAACATCAACACTAACAACAATAATATTTAATTTACTTAAATTCATTTGGTGTTTTTTGTTTTTGTTCTGTTCTCTTTTCATGTTCGTTCTTGTTTTGTTGCCTCCTTGCCGGGCATGCAATGTGAAATACAGTTCGGTGTGCGGGAGTGTGTTTTTGGCCCCATTGGAAAAGGGCAACATGACGTCCATTACAGAAAATGCATGGCTAAGAGGAAAACAGCAACAACAACGCCAAGCCACAACAAAATATACTTCCATTATAGCCATGTGAAGTAAACAAAAGAAGTGCATAAAAAACAACAACAACAAAGACAAGAGCAAAGTATTTTTACACCAACAAAAACAATAAAGCCTTCTTGCAATGAATTCCCAATTAAAAGAGGAAAATATACCTTCATTAAGAGCCGGGAAATCGAAATACACTGAAAACGAGAAAAAAAACAAGTGAAATGAAAAACGTCAATGTGAAATAAATGTAATGAAAAAAAATAACAACAACAAACACAAACACAAACAAATAGTGAAACTTGTAGTAAAGTAAAAAAAAGTATCAAAATATTTTCCCAGTTTCGGACATCATCATCCAGAGGCGCGACATAATTATCATTGGAATTTTGTAAGAAATCAAAACAGAAAATCTGTTTACGGAATCAAATCGAAATGTAATTAAAACAGGCTGTAAATTTATTTAAACTAAACACTCAAAAGATAAACAAAAACAAATGGAAAGCTTTTAGCAAAAGAAGAAAAAGAGGCAAAAGTAAATTAAAGTCTTACAAACGGAGAAATCCTACCAAATTCCAAATACATGTAAACATAACAGCCATAATACGTTTAGACTCTTAGGAGTACGGCAGACAAACAAATGGTCCAGGGAGGCCATTCAAGAATCCAGTGAAATACTTCAACATTTAGTTTTGTTTTCAAAACACCTTAAGAACGTTTTTCCTTTGTATTATTTGTTCGGTATGTGTCCGTGTGTGTAAATTCCACTCTGTGATGTGTATCTTTGTAGTTATGTGAAAAAATCGTTTGTGACAAAAAAGAGGATACAAAAATTCCACTATCTTTATTTCGGTTAAACGACATTGGCATTTTATCTTCTCTCTTCGGTTTCCTTAGCCTCCACAAAACCATTCCAATTTACTTTTTTGTGCGATAAAAACAAAGCAAATAATAAAAAAAATTGCCAAAAAACCTAAACAACAAGTCATAAAAATCGTTAAAAGAAAAGAAACAACAAAAAACAATAAAGATTAGCCAGCAGCAACAGTAAAATAACAACAATAAAATTAGCCACCAGTGACCAGCAACAGTCCAATCCAGCCCAGCAACAAACGGATATCATCAAGAGGTCAATGGGTGAGTTCATTTTCATTTTATTCAACATCGAAAATTCGTAAACACCAAACACAAATGAGCGAAGCGGCCTCCAATAAAATTCGCAAATACAAATAACTGCCGACACAAAGAAAACAGAAAAACACGAAAATAAATGGGTCATCAACCATCATTAGCAGGCAATTGGGGTCAGGTGTAAGACATTAACAGAACTTGTCATTGGTATTTACAAAAGGAAATTGCTAATATTTACGTTTGAGGTACAGTGGAAAAAATGGAAAATGGAAAATAGGAAATATTTGTATAGAAAACAATGGCAATTTGTCTTCATTTCGATCAGGTTAAAATCTGTATTCCTTCTACTAAAAATAAGAAAAAAATCTGTTAAATTTTATAACCTCCACCATTAGGTGGACAGCCAAAACACGTTAAATCATTCGGGTCATAATAAATTGGTGCCAGACTAAAAGTAAGATACAAACTCTCATATTGGAAAATCGAGTTAAAGGAAGCAACTCCCCTCTCCCGCATTCTCGATTCCAAATTTCGACAAGCTTCAACCTTGCCAGTCGGCATATGTTATGTTAAAGAATTGTAACTTTGCATTAAGATATTTGAATACTTAAAGAAGAAGAAAATAATTTGACAAAATGTCCTTGTTGTTGTTTTTGTAATTAAAAAACACTCTTTTCGACGGAGGAATGATTGCCGAAATTAGAAAGAGTTTTCGCTCGAAAACTAGCAAAATGACGGACAAGGGAAAATTATTTTTGTATGATGATGACGCAATAAATGGATTATATCTCCAAGGGTCATTGAGATTTCCACTTGAAATTTCAATGTGACATCCTTATAGCTTGAAAAAACAGAAACCTTTAATATGACGATTCGAGGAAGAGAAACAAAAATATCATATTATAGTCAATTAGGTTAAAAAAAATACCCAAATCTCCCTAATAGGGAGATTTTCTACTCAATCATAATAAAAACAAATACAAATCCCCAAAATACCTGCCGCAAAATTCCAAAAATGATGATAGAGAGGCTAAAAGTAAAAGACACGTGTGATTTTACTTGAAATTTTACTTCGAGATGTAACCTAAAAATTGGACAATATTTCCCAATTTTCAAGACATTTGAAAATATTCTGATTAGAAATTTCCGAAATCCTTGAATTTTAGGTATATGATGTCTTTCGCAATATTTCTGATATAAAGGAGATTTTTGTCTAATACGTTAAAACTCAGTCGACTCTCAGAAGGGTCCTTTCGATCCTCCTTTCCTTTTCTGCCATCGCAGTGTCCGACAAAAGACTTAAAATGGCCATTTCGTCCCACCTTAACTGGTTGATCGTCCGCAATACCAATGCCTTCTTGTTGAGGAAGCGTGATATCAAGAAACCATTCAGCACTGAGCCCAACAACTTGACCATTGCCAGTTCTTACAGTGGCATCATTGCCATTTCGTACAGTGGTATCGTGTACAAGAAGACCCTCGGTGTTGTACCAGCCGTCGACAAAAAGGACTTCACCGTCGTCATGAAGAGCACTTGCAAAGAAACCATGAAGGCTGGTCCCAGAAGGTCTGAGAAGTTGAGAAATCTTTTCACCGACAACATATACCGCAAGCACTTGCGTCGTGCCCATATTTCTTTGGACAAATCCGTTTCAGACAACTTGAAATCGTTTTACAAATGTCTGACTGTCCGTCCGATAACTCTCAAAGGGAGTGACCGAAACTTTGCACATCATAATATGCCAAGGGAATGAAATGTCCGATTTGATACTAACTTTACGAATCGTAATACTTTTACCTAGATTATGTCCGAAAATGGGACCCATCGGCCCACTTCACCTGTGGTACCTCCACCACCAAACGTAAAGATTTTAAAAACATGTAAATTTAATTTGAAGTGTATGAAGTAGCCGATTTATGAAGTAGCCTTGAAAATGGGGTATATAGGCAACTTCTTCGGGTATCTTGCCACAGATCTCCAGGACTACCTACCCTCAAATCAACAGCTCACAGTGCTTAACTCAGCCCTCAGTACTATGGTATATTCAATTTTTAATTCAAAACATATACTTAGAAATTTCTTATGACAGTCATCATACAAGTAGTGTGGTCTTCAAAAGGAAATACAAAATAATAATTTTTAGAAAAATAAAACCATAAAACTAATCTAGGAGTTTTTTCTAATAAAAGGTAAATTAATTTACATTGCATTTAAATTTAAATATAATAATTTAAAATCTTTTACAAATAACACCATAATGTCTTTATTATTTGAAGAAGTTCCCCAAAGAAATTGAGTTCTTAAGCAAAACAAAATTGTTTCCTGTTATTATTCATTTTGCGAAAATTACATTTTGATTGATGGCCGAATTTAAATGTCCCGAAAAATATTCAACTCATGGACTAAATAACAATAACAACAACTTCAGTTTGGAGGAGAGTGCCTTAAAAGTTTTGCCAAAAAAAAATATGGTTTCTTTTGTTGTACGTGCTAAACGAAAGTCTGTTTGTTTCTTCTCCATAAGAAGTTTCAAGTGCCATAGTAGAAACGAACATGTCCAAACACATACTCTTACAGACACATACACCCACACATATGATGATTGTCTTGGCCATTGGTGTTTTGACTTTTCCGAACTGGCTATAAATTGTGTAGTTCATAAGATTACATGTTACCGAACCAACCAACATGGACAATGCAACAAGGAAATTTGCGATACAACACGATGAGCGTCAAAGTTGCTTAAATCAGAAAAAGTGTAGGCAATAGAATGGATACAATTGTATCTTTAAATGTTGTCAAATGAAAGATTTTTATGTAATGAATATAAATTTCAATATTTCGTTTGTGACACATTTCACCTTTCATCGTTTCAATTTCCCTCTATTATCCTTGAGTACTCTTGGATGGTGGCACACAATTGTTGCTGTTCTCTTTTGCTTCGTCTTCATGTTTTGCCCTTAAACTATTTTAATCTTTCATAATCTCTGCATTACTTCTTCTCCGTTGGTTCCAGTCTCAGTAGATTTAGAAATTGAATTTTCAATCCGTTTGTTGCCCAAAGCCACAGTTGTTGAAATGCAACTCATTTTGTTTGGGATCGGAGAGGGAGGGGGTGTGTTCATTAAAATGATGTTTCTGTTATTTAGGAATATTATTTTCATTCAATAATCTTACTTCGAATGACATAATAAAAAATAGAAAATAGCAACAAATATTTTTATAATTAAGGACGGATTGTCGATTTTTATTAAAAAATCAGTCTCTGTGACCTGAAGTCTGTTTATCTTCGGATTAAATGCAGGTTTGGTAAGAATAATAAGATGTACAATTAATGCATCAAATCGGATACTCCATTCTCCTCCTCGGATACTCCATTAAGTGTTTTTAAAACATCGACCATTACCAGTACCAGAAGGACTGGACATACGTATACTGAAGTTTAAAAAAAAAATTTTTGCAATTTTGTGAAGTGTAGACGTATTTGGACTTCGGAGCAGATCTAGGCTTGGTGAAATTATTATGAGATACAAAGTTCCAATTAATTTTGTCATACTATTCCTTTAACATTGGATTAACAATTTGTCCAAATTTCGAGCCTTTGTGGCGGAGGAACTAGTAGGAGGTTAACCGACAGATCTCATCTTTAGACAGGATATACTTTTGGTAAACATATTAATTTCTACAAAATGTGGGTCAAATTGGATTATTCGTTTGCATGATTTAAAATTCGGCAAAGTTTTTTAGAGAGGTACTAGAAGGAGTAAACGGGACCTTTATACTGAAGCTATACCTCAATGGATCTATATCGAATATTTTCCGCAAAGTCTTTTCTTTGTGTAATAACACGGAATTCCAAACTGCAGCTACTTCGGTTGGAAAATTTAGTTACTTGTTTAATAGGGGCTATGTCGATACATGAACCGGTATATTCCATTTGGAATACCAACTAGCCAAGGAGTAGTAGTAATATATGTGCAACATTTCAAACCTCTATCTTACATACTGTGAGATCTTCAAAGACACACGGACTAGGTTTAGTTGATATAAAATTTCATTCCGATTAAAAATAATAAAAAAAATATTTATTGAATTTTTCGAGGTATTGCAAACGGAATGACTAAATATGCTGGAGGGTAAAGTAGGCCTCTGTGAACTGAGGTCTGACCACATTGTTTCTGTAGAAAAAAATCTGATCGCGGGCAACTAAGATACCTTGAATTTTGATCCATAATTCACTGAGGTCCAATTTATATTTTTTGTAGCAAAAATCGACAGACCTCAGTTTTCTGAGGACAATTTTTTTCCTATAAAAAATAATCTAAGTTAGGACAGACCTCATTCACTGAGATTTTTTTACTTTCCCATCAATTTTGAACAGGGTGAGCTGAATATAGAAAAAAATGTCACCTCCGAATTTCTCATTTGTTTTCTATCGATACAAAGCATTCTATAAAAAATATATTTTTAAAAGAAAAAAATACCTTTGCTCTATAAAAAAAGTTGTCAAACCTCATTTCAATGAAAATATTGGTTTGGATTTTTTTCAAATTGATTTTTATATATCTTTAAAATTATATCTTAGAGATTTTCTTCTGACAAAAATTAATTACCCAAATTGTTAGACCACTATCCTAGCAACTACCTGACTACCCACTGATAGCCATCGATTCGAAAAGAAAGCAACAGCTACATTTCTTTTTTTAATTTTGGAATATAAACAAAAAGTCAACAGTTTGAGACTTTCGTATCGGACCAGAACATGTCAATGTTTGCTGTTATTTTAGACATCGAATTCGAAAAATAGCTGCAAACATTGACATGAACAGCCAACGGATATCCGTGGGAAGGAAATTGAAAAACTAGTAAAAACAAAACGAAATAAATGCGAATTTTATTGCTGGCCTTTAATAGATATAATTTGTCCAAAGGCAAATGAACGAACGGGCGGGATGGCAAACTGGCAGGCGAACAGACAGATAAACAAACAAACTGCGAAAAGAGAAAATGAAAAATTATATTCTACTAATGTGCCCATAACTTTAAATAAAAACAGAAATAACAAAAACAAACCGTTTATTTGCAGATGGCTGTGGATGATACACACCCGGGAACCTAGGAACACGCACCACTGCTGCCCATCCACCATCAACAACACTATTGGCAGGCCGGCAGTAATAAACAAACGGAAAACATCGATAATTCAAACAGCAGCAGCAGCAGTGCGAGGGAGTATAACCAAACAATCAAGACTGTCCGAAGAGCAACACTTTCACCATTAAAACTTCAACGGCAAGCGGAGGCGAAGACAAAGGAAAGTGTTTGCCAATCGTCCGCTGGCTCCAGTGTGTTGTGTACCCGGCTGCTTTAAAAACGCCACAAAACAATCAGTCAATTAGCGAGCTGTGTGCGTGTATTGGCTGGCGGTGCTTTGGGGAATAGTGGAAATTAGTTGCCACACCAACCCAGAGATTGGTATATGCGGGCCAAGCAACAAAAAAAAGGAAATTCGAAACGGATACTTTTAAGGCTTTAAATTGAAAAACCAAACGTGAATTAAAGGCAATAACTTGTTCAATAATTTACAACGTAAAGGTCACCACGCCGACGAAGTGAGAGAAATAGCGCTGAAGGCGAAAGGACCTTTTTCGTCATCATACCCCTCTTAACAAAGACTGATTTATGTTCATATCTTCATCTGTAACTAGGAAAACATCAACGACTACACATTCGCTTCATCATCGACTTCATCACAGACACGAAACGACAAACTCAGCACTTGCAACTTTAGTTAGCTGGTATCCTTAACAAACATCCCTAGAAGCTACAAAAACAAAAGCAAAAAACGTGCATTGTCGTCTCCCTCCCTCTCCTCCCTGTAGAGCATAGCATAGCCTAGCCATCATTCACGTATTATGAAAATTGTAAATTTCTCTCGTTACAACAAACTTGTCAACAACAACAACAGTAACTACAGCAGCGCCAGCATCAGCATCAAGAGTAGTCGTTGTGGCAGCTGTGACAACTACAAACGGATTACAACAAGGACCAATAATAACAACAACTCGAACTTTATATTCTATAGATACATCATAATTCGGCAAAGCCATTATTCTTACTATCTACACGACACCAGAAACAGCAACAACAACAACGACGACGACATCAACTACTACAACAATTTTAGTTACCAACAAATTGACACGATTTCGAAGAAATTCTCCACCTGGAGTATTGCAAGGACAAGGCGGAAGGATATTTTTATGGCCAACATGTTTGTCTTTATCATCATTATTTTAATTGTGAATGCCTGCATAGCTGGTAAGTTGTATTCATTGTTATTGTTGTTATTTTTATTGTTTTCATTTACTTCCGTTTGTAATAAAAAGTTATTCGAGATAAATTGCCACCTACCTTTGAAACAATCACCTTCTGTTATTATCAATCTTAATTTTCAAAAACATTTTTTAAAACAACATTAATTGAAATGGAATTTAGAGAACATAAACCAATTAAAAGCAAAATGGCTCTTCTTCTTCTTTGATAAATTGAAATTTAGGTAAATGGAGAAACGTAAAAAAAAACAAACATTTAATGAATGAAAAATTGATTTAGACAAAGAAGAAGAATAATTTATAAATCACATTAGTCACCAAAAAGAAATCAGACACTCAAAGGAATTCTTTTATTAAAACACATTGAGGAAAGTATGCAAGTCGGACGGATACGGGCATATGCAAGAGATGTTCCTAAGATTCGAGATATTGCAAACAAAATGACAAATTTAATATGCACCCCATCTTATGGTGGAAGTTATACATTTTGACCTCTGTTAACTGAGATCTGGCGAATTTATTTCTGAGGAAAAATGAGATCTCAATGAACATGGATCAATCGTATTTTTTCTTTATTTCACTGATGTTCAAATTGGTTTATAGAAAAATTCGACTATACTCAGTTCACTAAGGTCAATTTTTTATAGGGAATTTCTTTTCTATAGAAACAAATGTGATGCTAGAGTTTTTCCAAAAGAAATCGAGTGATCTGAATATAGTTTTTTTTTTAGTGAATTTTTTGATTTTTTTCAGTATAAAAATGTGAAATGAAGTCTGATGATTTTTTTCTATTGACACAAATGTGACCTAAATTAAGACGGACCGGTGGATTTTTGTCTATAGAGAAATCAAAAGTTCTCCGTTTTTCATTCAACATTCTTATAAGACATTTTTTTAGATATATACTGTGTACACACATGCTTTACAATTCGCTTTATATAAGGTATATGTTTTTATATAAAAGATTTCGGATCAAATCGGTTATTTAATTTGCTTCAAAATAAATTTTCAAGGTTATGAAATATTGACCCTTTGAAGGGGAGGTTCCAGAAGGAGAGGACCGAGGGCTCCCACCTTCGAACTTGATCTAGGCTTGATACAGATTATATATTGTGCAAAGTTTGATTCAAATCGGACATTCCATTCGTCTAATATTGAATTTATATACATTATGAGGGAGGTATTAGAAGGAGTGGACCAATTAATCCCATATTCGCACTTGATCTAGGAAATTACATTCATCTAATACTGGTTTTGGAAATACCAAAAAAAAAAAAAATGTTAATAATTTGTGGGGGAGGTTCCAGAAGGAGCGCACAAATGGGACCCGTTTTCGGACTTGAAAGTTTACGTAAATCTGGACCGATTTAAATCAAACTTGGCACAAAACATTTCTGTACAAAATTGTTTGGTGGATCATTTAGATGATGTCTGCCGAAAATATATATAGGATCTATATCTATCTGAACCTTGACATCGTCATTCTGGACCCAACTTCAATACCCTATATAATATCGAGTCTTTGGTGCGCCGTGTAAACAAATGGGACGAAAATATATATGGAAGCTATATATTAATCTGCTCCGATTTCCACAAAACTTTGTTTATAAAATTTTAGGTTAAACTTGGCCCGTGAAATTGAACTAAAATGTATGGGATCTATATGAACCATTTTGTTTAGCCTCTTAAAGAAAAATCTCGACAATTTTAAAAGTTATGATTTTTGTCATCAGATGTCTTTTTTCAAGCTTTAAAAAGGTTGTAGAGCAGATTTTATCTAGGGCCAAAATCTGCTCTACAAACGTTTTCAAATTTTTATTAAAAACATATTGCACTTGTAATCCTATGAGATTAGCTCAACTATCTACATAGATTAAATACATATACTACACAACCCCTCACACAAAATCCCCCTTCTACCCTAACAAATTTCATGGAAGCAATGACACAGCAAAAACAGCAAACGAATTCAACTTTTAAATAAAATTTAAAGATTTTCTCCCAGATTTAAGTTAATCTTTTAATTGTATCTTTTTTAAGTATCAGAAAACAAGCTGGGTCATTTAACACCATTGAAAGCAAGCGCCCAACCAAGCGACACAGCACAACACTTCCACAGAGAGCTCAGAATATATATATGAAATTTCCTGTATTAAAGAAAATGTTCTCGTCTTCCCCTTTGACACAAAAAATAATGAAAATATGTAGAGTTGTGAAGAGCTTCCTCCAAAAAGTTTGCATGTTTGCTTGCTTGGCTTGTGAAAAGAAATAACCCCCATCAACATCATCATGCTATTATCCTTCCATCTGTCTGTCCATGGCTTTACTGTATGCCATGCAGCATTCGTGTTTTTTGTTTTGTTTTCTTATTTCAAAATTTCCTTCTTCGTTTTTTGGGAAACTTAACAACTTTATTTCCTTTGACCTTTTGGCAAGCGTCTTAGTCAGAACACAGCGTGCTGTTTTTCTTTTCTATAAATTGCAGCGAAAAATAAGAAAGAAAAAAAAACTTAATATTCATTCTCAGCCACCATGCATGTGGAGAATTGGTAGGTTAACGACGACACTATTTAAAAAAGGAATGACAAAAATTGTTTAATTACCGGAAAAGATTTAAAAATAATGAAAAAAGGAGGGCTCAGAAATTTCCTTATTCTGTAGAATAAGTCCTGGCTCAGTAAAAGTCATACGATTTTTGTTCTAAAAAAACAGATGTCTTAGGATTTTTTCTATAGAGAAATAGAGTTTTTCAGATTTTTTTTTGTAAAAAAAAAAAACAGAGGTTTTCCGTTTTTTCTAGAAAAAATGAGATTTTCCGATTTTTTCTATAGAAAAACTAAAGTATTCTGATTTTTCTATAGAAAAAGATATGTCTCACGATTTTTTCTCTAGAAACAACAAAAATCTTCTTTTTTCGATAAAAAATAATATCTTCTGGTTTTTTTTCTCTAGAAAAGCCTCAAGTCTTCCGATTTGAGACTTCCGGATTATTAATGGCAAAAACTGATGTCTCCCTATTCTTTCTAATGTCTTCTGATATTTTTTCTATAGAAAAAACTGAGGTCTCTTGGCTTGTTCTATAGAGAAATATTGGCTTTCCGATTTTTTGTATAGAAAAAAATGAAGGCATTCAGATTTTTTTAAATAAAACTGAGATCTTTCGATTTTTTTATAAAAAAAACTGGGATCTTTCGATTTTTTTTTTTATAAAAAAAAACTGGGATCTTCCGATTTTTTTTCTATAAAAAACAGGGGTCTTCAGATTTTTTCGTATGGAAAAAACTGACGTCTTCACATTTTTTTATAGAAAAAAAATAAGATTTTTTGGTTTTTTTCTATTAAAAACCTGAGGTCTTCTGATTTTTTTCCTATGGAAAAAACTAAGGTCTTTCGATTTTTTTCTAATAAAATACTGGAATGTTCCATTTTTTTCTGTTCCAATTTGTTCTATAGAAAAAAGAAGTCTTACGATTTTTTTTATAAAAAAACTGTGGCTTTCCGATATTTTTTCTATAAAAAACGAACAGAAGTCTTCCGATTTATTCTATAGAAAAAAAAACTGGGGACTTCTGGGTTTTTCCTGTAGAAAAAAACGAGCTTTTCTTGTTTTGCTATAGAGAAAAACTGAAGTCTTCCGTATTTTCTCTATAGAAAAAAAAACTGACGTTTTCCGATTTTTTTTGTATTGGAAAAAATAAGTCTTCTGTTTTTTTGCTTTAATGGCAACGATTTTCCTATAGAAAAAGCTGAGATATACCGATTTTTTATAGAAAAATTTGACGTCTTTCTTTTTTTTTAGAGATTGATATTTTTTTTACGAGGTCTGTCGATGTTTACTTTGGCTAAATTCCTCATTTTTTTCATTTTTCGGTTTTCTATAAAAAATTCCAGTTCCTGGAAATCGGATTCTACATATCGCTTATACAGTTCTGTTTTTTCTGATAGAATACTAAATCATAAATTATATCAGGCAAATTATTTAATTTGCCCTCATTTATTTCTGTATTCTTATTCAAGGTTTTCTAGTTTCCTTTTTTATTGTTTTTTATTCCTCTTTTTTGGATAATTATCTTCAAATCTTTGCAAAGTTGATGAGATTGCAACTATTCACTATTCCACTACCACTACTACTAGACTATTCACAATCTTCCGGTTTCCTGTTTGGGAAATTACAAGTGTTTTTCAGTGTGTGTGTCTATGTGTGTGTGTGTGACTATGTCTGTGTGTCTGTTAGCCAGTCAATGTTCGTTGCTTTTGGCATAGGTTTTGTGTTCACCAAACAACGGAAAGAATAGCAAACAATTTGCGTGTTTTATAAAATTATCAATAAAATTAACACATAACGAAGACGAACTCAAAGCAGAAGGAGAAGAAAGTGGAGAAGAGACGAGGAAAAGATCAGGTGGTTGTCGGCATAGCATAACAAAGAAGGTATAACCTGGTCAATGATGGCATTAAAATGCTGCTAGAAGGTGGTATACAAACGATTTGCCAGGAACAGCACGACAGGAAAGAAATTAAATTATGTAAATTCTTATTAGATTACGTTGAAACATTCCAATACAGCAAGGGAGGGCCGGGGTAAGATTTTCAAAAACAATGTCTGATGAAGGTTAAGTGTAATATGATGAAATTTCTTTGTGTGTCTGTATGGGTGGTTGATGAAATCTTTTGAAAATAAAAATCATGTTCTTAACATTGATATAACATAGAAGTGTCAGGTTATTGAGGAACTCCAAGAAAATCTTAAAGAAATAATTTGAAATTTAAATTAAATTAATGTGGAATTTTCTAAACAAGGTAAAAAGGAATATGAACTGAACATCAATGGTAGTATTTTTGAAAAAAAAGAACTGGAAAATGCAGTTTTTTTTCTAACGCACTTAAGAACCGAAAATAATTTATTACAACACAATTATGATCAAGAAAAAATAATAATATTTAATATAATGTTATAACAAGCACAGATTTTATAGAACCAAGAGC